TGTTATCTTTGTATTTCTGTTGTTGAAATCATCCTTGTTATCTTAGTGTCTCTGTTATCTTTGAATTTCTGTTGTTGAAATCATCCTTGTCTTATCCCAATCATCTGATTCAGTAAATTGTGTAAAACTGAAATCATCCTTGTTATCTTAGTATATTTGTTTTCTTTGTATTTCTGTTGTTGAAATCATCCTTGTTATCTTAGTATCTTCTGTTTATCTTATTGTTTTCTTTGTATTTCTGTTGTTGAAATCATCCTTGTTATCTTAATCCTGTTGTTGTTATCTTTATCTTTCTTATCTTTGTATTTCTGTTGTTGTTGTTATCTCCTGTTGTGTTATCTTATTATCTTTGTTTCATCATCCTTGTTATCCTTTGTATTTCTGTTGAATCATTGTTATCTTATTTGTTATCTTTATTTCTGTTGTTGAATCATCCTTGTTATCTTAGTGTCTTTTATCTTTGAATTTCTGTTGTTGAAATCATTTGTTATCTTTGTATTTCTGTTGTTGAAATCATCCTTGTTATCTTAGTGTCTGTTATCTTTGTATTTTGTTGTTGAAATCATCCTTGTTATCTTAGTATCTTTGTATTTCTGTTGTTGAAATCATCCTTGTTATCTTAGTATCTTTGTTTTATTTGTATTTCTGTTATTGGAATATCCTTGTTATCTTTGTTATCTTTGTATATCAACATGATACATCCGATCCTGCGTGTTGTGTTCAGGTGTTCTATGCTTCCATGTTTCCATCATGTTGTTTATTATGTTTTTTTATTAATTGCTCCAATCATGTTTGGGTCATGAAGAGTACTAGTTTTTATACATGTTTTGTGCTGACGTGAAATGCATGTTAGTTTTGGTTGTGTGTTTACGCGAGTGCTAAAATCTAACTATTTGTTTGTGCTGTTTTGATTGTTTATGAGCCTGCATGGACGTTGTTTATGAGCCTATATGTTAGTATTAAACTGTGGGGGTTTCGGCGAATTCAAAGGGAATTGATGTTCATTTGTTAATTAATGGGTGTTGTGATATTAGGATTTTGTGAGTGTTTTTTTTTATTGTGGAATTTGACTGTGACTATATTACTTTAATCGGACTGGTATATTTTTGTTTTGGAATTAAAGTTGAAGACTGCTTACTCGGTGTGTGGCTTAAGTTGTATGTTAGTGTGGCTGTTTTTCGAGTACTCCTGGAATATTATTTTCGTTGTGTTGCATATGGTTTATGTGTTCACTTTAAGTTGTCCTCTACGTGGCACCAAAGTGTCTGTGCGGTGTTGAGGCCGACAGACGCTGATCGCTGAGGGTTCACTTGATGGACAGCGAAGCGGCCGGGGGAAAGGCAGGTGAGTGATACACCTGAAGCGAGGTCTAAGGGTGTCGCGTCCGGCAGGTGTACCGACAGGCCTGAGGATCGAACTTTCATTTGTAGATTTTGACTGTAGAGTTCTGGGCGAACAGGGGAAAACGGTTGATGTACGGCGAGAAAAGAGGTTGTCCTAATTGTAAGTTAAAGAGGAATGATAGGATGAGACATAAGGAGACCACTCGTTGTCGGCTAAGATAGTTTCTGTCTATCGGTCTATCTTTTTTTCTTTCTTCATTATTATTCATCCCTCTCCAACACTTTTCTTAATCAATTTCGAAATGAAGCTTGTTAATATTCATGAAAGTAACGCTTCTGACTGACATTATTGGTCATAACATTCAAGACATAAAATCCTAACTGCTTTATATTAATCAAAAGACAATATCTTCGAGCATGATAATGTACCTATTTGATGTCCCATGATGTCATAGTATGTGACGACGAATGGTCAAATAGCCTTGTGGATCAAAATGTCCAAGTATGTCTTTTGCAATGCTATGATTCACACTACACTGGTGAGCTACGTGTTTAAGATGCACGTGGTTCAGACGGGTCGCCTCGATCACCTGTCCAACCCAGTACGATTTGCATTCACACGAAACCAGTCATGAGGAAAACATGATGTGATTGAGTGAATGTTGTCAGTATAGAATTGGGTGTTGGATAGACATGTTCCCTGTAAGTTGCCAAGTAG